CAAAGGCTATTAAAAAAGGGGGAACAAAGAAAGCTCCACTCAGGCAGAGCCTGGCTGGACAGATGCTGAACAGCCTGAAGCAGGGCAGAGCTGTCATCCACATTTATCCCTGGGAGCTGCATCTGCAGGGCCACTGCCATCCAGCCAAAGCAACAGGAGGGTGTTCAGCTTTCAGAGGTAATTCTCTTCCTTTCCACTGAAGCAGTGAAGTGACAACAAACAAAGCAAGTGCACCTCCCCTCTATTTTTCTGTTTGTTGCACTTCTGCTCCTTCCACAGAACAGAAGTATTTTATCTACTTAAGAGACCCTGCTCCAAGGCAGTAATTCCTTTAACGGTGATGCTACCAGGTTGTGCCCAGCATCACCAGGGACACAGAAATGTGTGGCACAGAGCACAGGGCAAAGATTCTGATCACATTCCAGTTGCAGCCAGTGAGGTTGATGGAGAAACATGCTCATGTCAGACAGCAAAACCAGCTGCTCAGCCACTCTGATGGCACTGGAAAGCCTAGGGGTGATGTACTGTGAAAGGCACAATGGGAGAAGCATTAATAAGAGTGACAATAAAGCCTTTCCCTTTCCACAGGAGACACCACATGCCATCCTCTAAACACCAGTATGAAACTAGCACCCAGTGCTTCATTTTCATCATTCATGCCATACATCAGCAAATACGATGGTAGGACACAGATCAGTTCTTCCAGCTCGTGCTTTTAAATACAGCATCAGGGAAGAGCAGAGGAAAAGAAAAGCCTGCAGAGTGTTTCAGCCAGCCAAGAATCTCTCACAAGAAACAGACGAGCACAAACATCTACTGACACAAAAACGAGTCACTTGCAATTGCTGTGCAGTAAGTTGCAGAAACAGGTCCGAAGAAAATGAGTCAATTAAAATCCAGCAGAACACTTCTTCTGCATCAAGAAACAAATTTATTTCATTGGAAAAGGCCCAGAACAAGACCAAGGCATGATCTTTCCCTCAGTGAGCCACACAGTAAAGTATTTTACTCATGGATTGCAGAAAGACATTTTATGTTAAGCACCTGAAAAGCTTTCATTAGCCTACATTTACTGTTACTTTGTATTCTTAGATTTTTCTGATTTCATATTATTACATAAAATACATGAAGTAAAGATGAAGAAAGTTAAGGTTCTTATCAAAACCCACCAGAATTTACAATATTTTACACTGTTAACATACTCTTCCCTGAGGCACACAGAGAGGCACACTGCCTACCCCACATACCAAAACTACATCAAAATCAAAACAAGACAAACACAAAAAGAAGAAGTATCGTAAGTGGAGGACAGCAGAAAATTCATTCTTTCTCCTGCCCATCAACCCCAAATAAAGTAGGCAGAAGAGCAGTCAAATTACTGAAATTGATGTCACATCAATTGGAAAACTGACTGAGCCCATACAATTGCTCTCCACCAAATTCATGGGTTCAAGCTGTCTGTTTCCCATCTGCTCCTCTGCAATTTAAGCAATTCTGAACTTCAGTCTCTGTACCCAAATGTGTCACAGATTTATCAGCATGTCAGGGGCCAATTCCTTACATTCTCCACTAAGGTAAGCTATTAGGGGGAGCAAATTTTCTGTGTTTATAATTGCCAGGCCAGGAAAATTCACGGAGGACAATCACACACGACCTTAGTAAATCCACCATGAAAAATTAATTACATAACACAATCTCCCACCCCGCCATCTTTTTTAAAAAAGGCCATTTTGTTCTCTTCTTACATGTGTTTAAAGACATGTTTAGTACACATTACAGAATACTGTAACAAGCTTACAAAAAAATCTAATTTGTGGGCTTTTTTTTGCTCATATGATGAGCTCCATCATCCATCTGAACTCCTGATAGATGAGGACCAGGATCCTTCACTAGCATATATGGGGTGGCCAGTCTTTAAATGCTTTTCAGCAATGAAGGGGAAGGAATCTTATTAAAAACCACAAACAACTGCACACCGCAGTTCAGTTTGCAGACAGGCTGTCAAGTATTCTAGTCTTTGTTCACAGTTCTCTCACCGCCTAAAAAGCTAATTTAATTAATTCCAAACATACTTAATAATTTGTAATTTTGCTACCTTAACAGAATGTATGCTCCATTTAAAAATGCAGCTGCAGATGCTCTCACAGGGAAGACCAAAGTACGATGTTCTCATGCTGGAATTACACCACTGGTGATGAGATGTTGTAAATGAAAACCAGACTATGGCTCTGCATGACAGACAACAACATAAACAAATCGGAGCTCTAAATTCCAGATTTTATCAAATACTCTCTAATATTTAATGGCAATGTATTTTCCATATTAACATGTGTCTTATGGTATGACTAATCCCTGCTTACATCATGTGTGATATCTCAAGTATCTCAGGTTATTCTCTTTGTTTTGGTCAATAACTTTTAACTCTGATATTCGAGAATTCATTTCACTTGTCTAGACTACCCTCCTCTCTTCCACTGGTGGACCTCTTACCATTATCAAGAACTTTGAAATGCATAAGCAAAGGTTTGCTATATTTTATATATATATTTATGCATATAAATTAATGTCAATACTGATATTGCATTTTATGTTGTATTAGAAACTATTTTTGCTACACCTAAAACTACATAAACTTTACTCTCTTCATAAATAATCTGCATTACTCTTCATCATAAAGTCACTTCAGATCCTAAAGGATTTTAATTTGGTGAAGCATTTTGGCACTGGCTGTGTTGTTGGAATATACAAAAATGCAGTTTTGACAACAATCAAAACACCTGTTGATGACAAAAATACAAAACTCACAGATGTGTAATTGTGTATCACCTACAAGAGTTAACTACATATATAGCAGAGATGGTACTAAAGTGAAACCAGCATAGTCCCTACAAGAGATAAAACATTTTTTACATTATTAAAAACCACAAGTTCTTAGCCCTTGTGGTAAAACACTGGAGTAAATCAGTATGCCTCTGTTCTCTATGTAACAGCAGAATTTACACCAACTGAAAGACATGGACATTTTCAGTTGTCCCTCTTTTATCCTGACTTATACTGAACATTTTCCTATACACCTTGGTGTAAGCAGTTGAATAACCACGTGCACTTCTAGGACCAAGACTCACCTCCATAGGAAACCTGCCATAGGTTGGTTAAAGCAGGAAAAAAACACACCAAAGCTCAGATCCTAGATGAACAAGCAATCTGACCTCTGAAATTCCTAGCCAGGCTTCAAAAACATCTGGAGCCCTACAAAAATGATCAGCACAACTTAAGATGGAACCTATGTGGGCCACAGCCAGCAAGGAACAATGCTCATTAGTAGTTTGCAAGCTTGTATTTATTTTTAGCAGAGAAAAAATTAGGAAGTAAGAAAGAGGACAGGCTTCACAGTAAGCCTGAAGCCACCTGAAGGTGTTAAAACCCATAAATCAATAAACAGAAAGATAAGATAGCATACTATCAGTTTCACCTCTATATATGCTTCCACCAGAGAAATGTCACAAATACACACCCAAGTGGAAAGGACACTAAGGTGAATTTAACACAATACATTTTTGTCCACCAGCAAGTAACAGTCCTTACAAAGTTAATAAAAAACCCCCAACTCTCTAAACCTTTTGGGAAACATGACAGACATGGACAATGCAGTTTCAAAATTTCAATATGAAATTTTATATGAAATGGCAGGTGCAGGTTTTTATCAATAAATGTAATACATTAACGAGAAGTATACAGAATACACAGAATACGCATTTTTGTAAGATTGCAAGATAGTGGATAAAAGTAACAGTTTGCTGGAGAGCTGTGACTTCAGACATCTGTCACTAAGGAAAAAAGCATTTAACAGCAGAAACAGCACTAACGACAATATAATGGACATACCCAAACTGCCACAAGTAGGCTTACTTAAAGATCTCTAAACATACCTACAATAAGGACTCATCAAGGAAGATTCTTGCTAGTTCAATGTTGCTAATAGTCACAAATACAGAATAATTTTTAAAAGCAGGTAATTAATGGAGCTGTCATTCTTTACTATTTCATCTGGTCCATCTGCAATGACCAGAAAAAGCCAAATAATGTGAGCACAATGGTGCAACATGGATTTAATTGAAAAGCAAGGCTGTACATCACAGAAAGATGACGTGATAGTTACAGAATGAGGAGCTGTACTCTCCCAAGTGGTGTCATCCGTGTCCACAGCACTGGAGCTGCTCTGAAACACTGCGTGTCTGGCTCCAGCGCCAGTGCACGAGGAGCAAGGGACTGCTGAGCCTCATACCCTTCTTCACACTCACAAGCAATGAATTTTGCTTGAAAAACTCTTTTGAAGTGACTGTTACGTTGGCTCTATTTGCATCATATTTAAATTAAGTTCAGCTGTGAAAACGATGGGTGAGCGAGGTTAAATTCCAATTCTCTCTCAACTCACGGGATTTCACACAGGAAAATTCAGTGGGGGGTGGGTATTAATTCGCACGTACGGACAAAGAACCAGACTGTTGCACATACGCGGCGTTCTGTAAAGGCTCGCTGTCGGGAGGCAAAGCTCTTTTGCCCAGCACAAGGACAAGCTGCGTTCCGAGCCGCTGAGGAGCGATCGCTGCTATGGAGCTCGTGTCAGGGGAGTGCATTACAGAGCGCGGTGTGCTGACCACGCCGCACACCAGCACACCGCGCTGTGACTCACACAGGGCCGCGGCACCGCGTTTTGGGTGTCCGCACCCCAACTGCGGAGCCAAGTCCCGCTGAGGGAAAAAAAAAATTCCCGGGCGCTCCCAGGCCTGCGGGGCCCGCCGGCCGCCCGGCCCGCTGCGGGCAGCGCTCCTTCCTTCCGTCCTTCCCCAGCCGGGCCCGCAGGCGGCCCGCGGGAGCGGCCCCGCACACAGATCCCGCCCTCCCGCTCCCCAGAGCCTTTTCCTCTCCCCCTGTCTCCTCCCTCCCTCCCCCCACAGTAAGGTAACTCCCAGGAAATATGCAAACCTGTTAATTTTTACCTTCTTTGGCTTTTTTCCTCCTGGCCAGCGTGCCGCCGAGCTTGCCCAGGAAGGAGTCATCCTTCTTTCTGGAAGGGGGAGATTTCGGGGTGGGGGACTTGGGGGAAGAAGGGGACTTCTGCGGGGAGGTTGCCATGCTGGGCCAGCCGCTGCCGGCTGTGGGACGGAGCAGACGGCTCCGAGGCCGCGGTGCCGTGGGAGGCTGTTCCCGGCTCTGAACGGAAGCGGAATTATTTCAAGCATTTGAGGCAGCTCCTGCTCCGCTCTCCCGGCTCTCCCGCTCCTTCCCTCCCTCCTCCCGCCCTCCCTCCCGCCGGGGAGGGCCCGCTCGCCTCGCACGGCTCCCGGTGGCCCCGGGCGGTGCGGGAGCCGCTCCGCTCCCGGCTGCGGCACGCTCGGCCTTGGGGGACCCGAGGGAGCCGGGGGCACGGGGCAGCGGCTCGCCCCTCGCAGGGGACTCGGGCACATCGGGGGCTGGGTGGGTAAGTGACCCAGGGTAGGGTGGTGCAGGAGGTGCCAGTACCGTGGGTGCCGAACGGTGAAGGTAGGTGTGGACACAGTGCCACGGCTCACACCGTCCAGCTCATCCTCAGCTACTCCAGGGTGAAGGGCCTGAAGGATAGCAGGGTCACAATGCCAGCAGATGTTTCTATGTTCTGTGCACAGCACCGATAGAAAAACAGAATCACGGTCAGAGTTGGAAGGGGTATTAAAGATATTCTAGTTTCCAACACACTGCCATGGGCAGGGACACCTTCAATTAGACTTGATTGTTCAAAGCCCCATTTAACCTGGCCTTGAACACTTCCATGGATGGAGTGTCCAGAGCTGCTCTGGAGAGCTTGTTCAGAGCCTCACCACCCTCCCAATAAAGTGTTTTTTCCTAACACCTTGTCTAAGCCTACACTTCTTCAGCTTAAGGCTATTTTCCCGTCTTCTGTCACTACCTGCCCTTGAAAGACGTCCCTCTCCAGCTGTCCTGTGATGCCCCTTTAGGAACTGTAAGGCTGCTAGGTCTCCCTGACGCATTCTCCAGGCTGAACAACCCCAACTTTCTCAACCTGTATTCATGGGAGAGGTGCTCCAGCCCTCTGAGCACCTTGGTGATCTCCTCTGAACATGCTCCATCAAGTTCATCTCTCTTGTGTTGGAGGCCCCAGATCTGGACACACAAAAGAACTTAGGAAGTAATAAAGTGTCCCTAAATAGTTTCCTGCAAGTTAAAGTTCAAGCTTACTACAGACATTCCAGTGTGGATAACATTTTGCAAAGCTCTTGGCCTGCAGTTTTCAGCAGTGTCTGTGGTGAGAAGCAGCGAGCATCGTCATATCCACTTCTACAAAGCAAAACAACTGTTGTAGTCAGACCAGTATAAGAACCCTGTGGAAGGAAAGGTGACTTAACATGATAGATTGCCTACACCAACCCTGCTTTGATTTGCAGATGAGCAGCTTAAGGGAAATTTAAAACAGATAATTTGCTGTGACTGGTTCAGGAGGCATCCAGGAGTGGAACAGCATTAATGTCATCTGGATGCACTACTTTCACTTACCACTTAATCACTTGATTAACAATTCAGGCAAAAAGCCACACACACTTCATGCAAATATCTAGCTATCCATTAGGCATAATAAGTGAAATGAAATTACCATGAGGATATTTCTAAATCAGCTAATAATTGTTGTGTTTTTACAAGCTGGTAACATTGGTTAGCTGATGAGGGATAGACATCAATGTCTATTTGTTGCATGCAGTTAGTATGTGCCCTGGATAAAAAGCTCTATTCATCCATCCTGCCAGCAGTTATAAGCAAGAATGAGCCCAAGGCTTAGCACAATCCTTTCCTTACATTTGCTCTCTGGTTCTAGCACCAGTTATTGTCTGGGGCCTCTGGTCTACGAATTTCAGCCCAAATTTCACGCATAGTTCTCTTTTTGCAGAAGTGCTGCTTATACAGTATATGTATCATTTTAAATAACATAATAAAAGACAGTTTCAAAAGGAGAAATACATCAAGCACTTTTTAAAATATGCTTGTAAATCTGTGGTATTTACAAACAGAGCAGTGACCCAGCTGAATCTCCATTTGGAGCCAAATGACTATACAAGGATGTCAATATAAGATTTTGTGGGCACAGCAGAAGAGAGAACATTTTGGTAAGCACAAGTGCACTTGCCTTTGTACCCCTGTGTTTGTGGTAAATACAGAAGAAGCCAGATACCTCACAAAGAGCAGCGGGTACTGGGCTGTGCAGTACAGGCTAGTCAGAATTCAACATGCATTTGCCAAGTCTCTCACAAAACTCTTTCTCAACACTCAATATATGTAAATGAATTATAAATATAGTATTACTTATTTGATAGCCTCGTGAACTATGGGAGTTGGACATCACAAGGGGAAAAAATTAAATGAAACAATGTGTTTAAGATGAACTTTATCAGATCTGGAAACTCAAACACTGTGTGCTTTAAGTAATGATGCTAAAGCAACAGCCAGATACTAAGTTTATAGTTTTGATTTTGGGATTTCTTTCAGGATTTAGTAAATAAGTAAAAAAAAAAGATTTGTGTGTAACATTAGTGCAGTATTTTTCCAGTTGTGTTGTTTCTCTTTGAGGATAGTTAAAACATATTCCCCCTGTATCTGAAATTTAGAATTACATATGCTACCTTTTTTTTTCTTTTTATGTAGGAATATATATGAACATATAGCCTTAAAGTAATACTGTATTCATCACAAAAGGCTTTATAGATATACACAAAGTCTAAGTTATGGCCTTAAATTAATATTGCATTAATCACAAAAGGCTTTGTAGGTATTCACAAGGTCTGAGTTCTGGCAGCTATGGGCATGGAGTTTGCTCTGCTCTATATTTGACAACAGAATACTTCCAGGATCATGCTCCACGAGCCCAGCACAGGACACAGCAGTCAGCAGGCTGCTGTTCAGGCTGGCCCTGCGGCACCTGGCGTAGAGAAATGCGGAGCAGACCACGAGAGCTCTCACCACGCTCCCTGTCAGTGCCTTGTTCGGCCAGATGAGCCAAACATTACATCAAATTAATTGTATCCTGCTCACATGTGTACTTTTGCCAGGCAATAAAAGGTGGCTAAGTCCCCTCCCCTCCACCCTTCAAATAATTCTCATTCACCTGCATATCTGTCCATGCACAGCTGTTTTTTATTTCTTTTAATATGAGACTCAGAATGCTCAGGAGCAGAGTTTTACTTTCCCAATGAAACAGAAGAAGCAAGGTATATAATATCCCAACCACGGGCTAGGCTAGCAAGAAAGAGCAGCCAGCATGGTTAAGGCTGTGCAATAAATCATCCCCTTGCCTTTGAGTATTCCCCTATCATTTTTTCTCCTAGGTGGTAGCTCTGCTCCAGCCTTTTGACCATTCGGTCATTTAAAGAATGGAAGTGGAATTTTTAAAACTGATTTATCATCTTGCTGCTACTGCTGTGCTTGCCTACAGGAACACCCTTTGCTGGCTTCAGGAGGAGGAGAACTAGACCAAAGTCTACAAAGTCTACAAAGTTTTATTTTCCTAAGCACTGTGCTTTCCTAAGCCCTGTGCTGACCTGCCAGCTCTGTGTGGTGAATTGCTGAACGTGCCCACCCCTCCCTGAGTTAACAGCACAGTAAAGGGGCCTGCTTGGCACAGAAGGTGTTTCCACCCCATCTCAATGTGGCTGCCTTAGGACAGCAGAAAGCATCGTGTCAAGGATAAAAGGCTCCAAATTTTCATAGCCAGCATCACCTGAAACTCACACTTGAGGATAAATTTCTTTCCAGCTCACAAGGTGAGATTAAGATTGGACATATTTTCATATGCTGGAATTTAAAGCACAGCTGTGATTTCTACTCTAACTTCTTTGGTAAAAGAATATTCTGTTTAAATAATATAACAAAAAAAGATTGTTTCATAAAAGTAAGAGAGTATTTCCAAACAGATTCTTAAAACATGCAATGAATTTTTGTTGTACATCAAGGAGCAAAACAGATAGACTAAGATGCGATGAGGAGAAATGTACATGAAAGATAAAAGAGAACACGTTGTATACAGCCACAGAAGTGAATAATGTGAAAGCTTCAGAGGAAAGAAAGTGGGTGTAAAACTTTTTGGTAAAATGGGAACATCATCCTGGTATTCCCTACTTTTGGTAACACGTTGTTATCTCAATTAGTTATTTACAAAAACTGGGCCAAGTTTACTTGCATTTGCAACTGTTCTTCTTGAGACAGTTTTAGGAAAAAATCAGTATTATGATTTTTTTTTCTTAAGAAGTTTCAGTTGTACCCTTTGTTTGGGTCTGTAGTTATGTAACACAGGTATGTTACACAAATATTCCAGCAAGCACAATACTGGCATGCAGGGCTATCAGGTCTCTTCATAGTTCATTAGAAGCAACAGAAGAAGCCACAATTTTTCTCATAAATATCAGGCAAAGAGATCTGGGTGAAATCCAGCAAATACCTTGCCCATCATGAAGTGTTTGCCAGGGCCCAGGCTCCTGAGATGTGGCTGCCATGAAGACTGAAGGAACTGCATTTGCATGCTACCATGGCAAACCCATTGTGCTAAACAATGCCAAAATGTGCAGTCCATGCAAAGCCCAGCAGGGACAGCTCTGAATCTTAATAGCAGCAAAGTCGTAAAAGATACACAGAGTTTCCTATCTGCTATGCCACATCCTGTTACTTGCTCAAATGTATCTTTCTGGAAATGACTACTAATGTGAAAATCTCTGTTGAAATCAGACATGCATGGGCTACAAAGCAGAAGTTTCAAGGCACAAGACCTCTAAATTTGTTTCCTATGGTCAAACACACTGCAAATCCAGTCAGGTGTCCCTTTGCCTTGGAGACAGATGGATTGGTCTTGATTCAAACAATGATTTACAAAATTGTATTCCCAAGGTTTTTATAGAATCACAGAATTGTTTAAGTTTGAAAAGACCTTTAAGATCAAGTCCAGCCATTCAGCCAGTACTGCCAAATCCACACTAAACCGTGTCCTTAAACACCAACTGAGTTTCTTTGGACCTATGATCTTTTGAAGAGGGGACAAGGAGGGTGTGTGCATGCACTGAGATTAGAAGAGCCTCAGTAAATTCCTGTGGTGACATTTCTATTCTGCTCCTGGGACAGAAAAGTCCACAAGATGGAAGGGAAGGGACATGACAGTGAAAGGAAAATCTCAGTTCAAAGATGCCAGAAATTACATTGACCTGTGAAGAGAAGCTGTCCTGTGAGGAGGAGAGACCTATC